ATTTGAAAGAACTGGGAGAGAGTACAATTTCCCAAACCAACCCTTTAGGTACAGTTTGTAATGGCCTAGAATTATTTGAATAATCCCACCAAGTCACCTTAGAGATTCTTTGGAATTTAAGTGAGATAATTAGGAAGAAATCTAGGTGCTTTGTCATTTGTTGAACAAGGCAACTTGGCTAGGACAGAGTGTTGGACTCAGCGTCAGGATGACCTGGGCTCAAATCCTGCTTCTAATTCTTAGTGGTTTCATGTTCATGGGCAATCCACTTAACCTCAGTAATCTTCATCTTCTTCATTTGTTAAATGGTGAAAATGACCAGTAATACCTACCCCATAGAGGTTGTGAGACTCAAACAAGATAATATGCCTAACTTAAAATCAGTTAGTCAACTAACATTTATTCAGCACTTTCCATGTGCCAGGTACCACTAAGCAGTGGTATTCCAAAGAAACTAAAAAACATGGTCCTTGGCTTTGAGGAGGTCACATTGTAATGGGGAAAACAATATGCCAACAATTATGTATCTATAAGATATGTACAGCGTAAATGGGAGGTAATCTCACAGAGAAGCCATTAGAAGTAGGAGAAGGGAGTCACCAAGAAATCCTCTTAGAAAGAATAGAATTTGAACTTGGAGGAATCCAGGGAAGCCAGAAGCACAGACGTGAAGAGAGAAATCATTCTAAGAATGGGAGACAGCCAGTACAAGGGCATGGCATGTTTTGTACAAGGAAAAGCAGGAAGGCCAGAGCCACTGGGTCATAGAGAAGAGTTATATATCACTGGGGATGGGTGAGTGACTCTTGATGGTTATGGATATCTTATTGGCTCAGATTATTATGGGTCAGAGCCACCATACTTTCTTATGCTCATAAAAGTTCCTCTTCATTGCAGACGTGTGCCTCATTTTGCCCCTTTTTCTTTTCCAGAGAAAGGGCCAGAGATAATAGAGTTAAGAGCCCACATCAGTCCTAAGAAGGACAAGCCCAATCCCCAAACACTGTGAATTGTTCATGGCTGTCTTGGGGTTGAGGCACATAAGAGTTGTGTATGCTCTTACCTATATGGACCAAGGGAAGAGTTCCTAGACTCCAAATTCTAGAATGCAACCTTCTAGATAGGAAAGAAAGAATTCCTGAGGACTGCCTTTATGTCCAGCACATCTGAAAGCTTGGAAATCCGGCATTGTTATAGAACATACCTTTGGGACAGATTCTTTATTTCCTTGTGGGAATGGGGAATGGTCTAGACCAGAAGTGTCATGAAGCCCACGATACTCCCTAGTGCCAACAGAGCTGGATTAAAATGTAATTGGGGCAGGGGCACCTAGGTGGCGCAGTGGATAGAGCACTGGCCCTGAAGTCAGGAGGCCCTGAGTTCAAATCTGACCTCAGACCAAACATCTGACACTTACTAGCTGTATGACCCTGGGCAAGTCATTTAGTCCCAACTGCCTAAAAAAAAATGCAATTGGAAGATATTTAACAAAATAAATAAAAACATAATCGAACATAGGTAATGCTAATATGTGGGTTTTTCAAAGTCAATATGCAACAGGAAGGGATCCTTGAGTATGGTTTAGTGGTCCCTTTCTGGCTAGATCCTCAAAAATTCCAGAGTTTGTAGTACTGTTCCTTTTCCTAACCCAGGAAAAGATGGAACAAATATCTTGGGATTGAGGGATTGCATAATTTTAGATTGTGCAACCCCAGGGAACACTGTAAAGGAAGGTGCTGAACAACAGAGGCAGTATTTCACTTCCCCAAAAGTTGGGAGCAGCAATGGGTAGAGAGTGCTGAGGAAATAGGCAAACTGAAGGAAAGGAAGCTTGAATGGGGTCAAGAGCATCTGGGCATCTCTGGGGTGGTCAGTGTCATCTTCCTTCAGAAGGAGATGATGGCAGCCAGAGGAGAAATCAGCCTTTATAGGTAGTGAATTTCCTTCCCCTCTTCTCCCCTCCTCCCCAGTGACTCCAAGTGGCCAAAGAAGAGTCTTCTTTCTCCATTCAGTTTCTCTCCCCTTTCTTCTCTCTTTCCTTTCAGACTGCAATTTAAACCCAAAGCTTTCTGTTCCTTTCTAGCTTAAAAAAAAAGGGCTGTAATGGTGTTTTAATTCTGTTTTCTCTAGATAAACAACAGGATCTGACCTGAATTTTTTTTTCTGTGTATGTCTTTAATCACATGCTGTGTGAACCTCTGTGTAGCTTAAATGTCACCCATAGGTGATCAAGCTGATGTTGATTTTTATGTTTCTATTAATAACTCCATAACTCTCACCAAAGGCAGAACTTTTGGAACCTGGGAATTTTCTTTCTACCTCAGAATATAAGTAAGCCTGTCATGTTGTAAGCCAGGTGTGGCTCCCTGGAAGAACCAGGTGTGAAGGCACCCTCTCTGCCCCAGGCTAAATTCTCCCCTAATCTTCCATGTGGAAAAAATTAGAGGGAAATGAAAGGAAGAAGGCTACAGAGAAGGCTACCATTCCAGTCAGCTCTAACAGATGGAGATAGGAGAAGTCCACAAGGATTCTGGTTGGGAAGGGGAATGAAGAATATTCACCTGCCAGTCTTCCACAGCAACCCATAGTGATTTCACTAGCAAAAAGGGGAGTTCCTAAGTAGAGACTATCTCTGTGGTGCCCAGAGTTGAAGGGGAAACAAGAGAACAAGTTCTTTTTTAACCTGTGATTTTCCTGGTATAAGGAAGTCCCAGTGAGTCAACTCCCTCTACCATCACAGATCAGCAACTACTCTGCAACTTACAAGTCTAAGAGAGTTTCCTGAGGGTCTCTGAGAGGTCGCTGTGACTTATCCAGGTTCACTCAGCTAGTATGTGTCAGAGACTGGACTTGAGCCTGACTCCAAGGCTAGTCCTGTCCACTACATCATGTCATTTCTCTTATAAACCATGATATGGGGGAACAAAGGACCTGACCTTTGTCTTCATTGTTACTATTAGATATTTAGACAGTACAGGTCTGATGGGAAGGTAGGTTTTCTGTTTAGCAATCCTAAGAGCATTTTCTTTCTGGGGATTCCAAGGCTTCAGGTTAGCTTCATCAAGTCAGACACCCGAATGAGTTTCTAGGGATAAAAATAGATTCACTAGAATGTTGAGAAAGCTACATCTCTAGAAACCCTAAGTTAATTTCTCTTCTGAAAATAGTCCAAACCATAGGTGTCAAAGTCAAACAGAAATGGGTCAATTGAACTTAGTAATACCTCTGGGTCAAATATTGACTTAGGATGTCATATATATTAACACTATGTTCTATTGTATTTTTATTTATTTTGTTAAGTTACATTTTAACTGTGCCTGGGAGAGCGTTGTAGGCAGAGTGATACCTCTGGTTCAAATCATAGAATGATTAGGAGTAGGAGGAGCAAGCATTTGTGTGGCACCTACTATGTGCCAGGCACTGGCACTTTACAAATATTATCACATTTAATCCTTGTAACAATTCTGAAAGATACCTACTGTTATTTTACAGTTGAAGAAACTGAGGCAAGCTCATGTCTGAGGCTGGATTTGAACTCAGGTCTTCCTGACTTCAGGAGGAGCACAATATCCACTGCACCATCTAGCTGCCTTTTAGTATGCTACACATCTGAGGAAGTGCATAGGTAGATCTCTGCAGGAAGATAGGACTAGCTGGAAGGGTAGAGGGAAGGAATTGTATTGACTGTGAGTCCTTTTACTTGCCAAGCAAAGAGACATAGAGTTAAAGGGCAAATTGAGCCTAGAATACAACCACATTTTAAAAATTTTCCTGAGGAAGGTGAGGGAAGATGATGAGTAAACAGTGAGAAGCAGGAGAGGGAAAACCAATTTAAAAAAACTTGACAAGAGATCCAGCTGATCAAAGTCATCTTGAAGGCATTTCAGATGAAATTAGGTGGCCAAGGAAAAAATGTAAGACAGAAAAGATCTGCACATATTTTTCTAACAAACTCTTTTCATCACCGATAAAGCGGAGCTATCACATTTGGACCCTAACATCACAACCCCAGTCCATAAATCTTCTTCTTGTCCTCAAGGATAGTATTTAAAAATGCTGTCAGATGCTTTGCAGAAATTCTTTAGAATGTGATATCCAAGCATGACAACTTAAATTCATTGATACCTCGGTGCTGTCTTACCATCTCACTTTCTTGAGATTTAATTTCTTGTGACTGTTTTTGTTCTCTCTTTTCTATTCCAAAAATATTTTTCCTCGACAAAGAGGAAAAAAGCAAAATGAGACTTTATTAGTCAGACAGCAAACATTCATAAAGGACCTACTATGTCTAGACACTGTGCTAGGCATTGTGGTTATAAAAACAAAAATGAAAATATTCCCTCCCCTCAAGTAGCTTACATTCTATCAGTCTCATGCTATCTTTTAATGTTAACTATCTTTTAATATAGACCCTCCCTATCCCTAAAAAAAAGTGCACAATTTTGAGATTTTAAGACATGGTCTGAAAATCTGAATCCCCTCCTCAGAAACTATTCCCCACCATAAGTAGGTAGTGGTAATCAGATATATCTCTTCAAAGGAGTTTCTCTATTGAGTACTATCTCCAAGCTTGCAAAAATATCTATCTCTATTGCCTATGTCATGTCATCAAATAAGTACCTTGGTATCCTTCAGGAAGGAGTCATCAACCATCTCTTCTTCCTTAATGACCTGTCTCTCTTCATAATACCTGTAGATCCACGTCATCTTTCTGCAGAGTATACCAACTGCTTCCTCTTGTGATAATCTGGTCTCTTTCTGAGAAGGAAGGAAGGAAGGAAGGAAGGAAGGAAGGAAGGAAGGAAGGAAGGAAGGAAGGAAGGAAGGAAGGAAGGAAGGAAGGAAAGAGGGAAGGAAGGAGGGAAGGAAGAAGGGAAGGAAGGAGGGAAGGAAGGAGGAAAGGAAGGAGGGAAGGAAGGAAGGAAGGAAGGAAGGAAGGAAGGAAGGAAGGAAGGAAGGAAGGAAGGAAGGAGGGAAGGAAGGAGGGAAGGAGGGAAGGAAGGAGGGAAGGAAGGAGGGAAGGAAGGAAGGAAGGAAAGCTTAGTGTTTCTTTTCCTTTTTTTGTAGATCATATTCTTCTACCTTTCAGCATCTTGACCAAGGTTCAGATTTTCAAATCCTTTTTCTTCTCTTGAAACTCCTCTGTTCTTTCAAGGAAGGCTTTGTTCTGATAACCTGAAGAGTAGAGAGTATTCCAAACATTTTAACTTCTCCTGTAGGATGGAAACCAATTTGCACATTTTTCATAAGTAACATTGGCCTATCACATCAAGTTCTGAGCTGTTTGGAGGTGTGGCTCTAAAGCCAGCACCTTCCCATTGGATGTTTAAGGAAATGAAACACTGGCAAATTACTGAACATTTAACTAAGGAGGAAGTTTACTTTGTTCTATCACAGCAAAGATATGCATCAAGGATACAGTGGCACTTAGCTTCTCTGGAAGCAGCTGTCTTCTTCCCCATCTGGAAATGTGTGTATGATCAGTCCTCAGGGTGTAGTGACAGCTATTCATGTGGCCTCAGGCATCCACCCAGTCTGAAAGGCATAGAGCCCTCATGGCTTGGGCTTTTTAGTGGCCATAGGATAGGAAGCTGTGTCAGGGAAACTGGGATGCAATTGGCCTTGTAGGGGGAGGAAGCACCAGGGAAGCCCCTAGGGACAGTGGGGCCAAAGCAAGTTGTGTGGGAGTCGGGTAAGGAAAGCTTTGTCAGAAAACTTCTATCCTACCACATGAGCTTACATGGATTCTTGGTGCAATCTTGTGAGTAGGTTGTCTTTGACTCCTTTTGCTTCAACTCAGGATTTTCTCTGGGAAACCTCAGAATATGGCTTGATGTAGCTCATGTCTAGGCTTCCAGGTCCCTCAGCTCCTGTACAAGTATTCAAGGTAACAATATTTATAGTATTCAGAACAGTCTTTATACCCCCAGAATAAACACAGAAGCCATGTAAAAGATTTATTCAAATATTCAGAGTAGTCAAATGGCTCTGTTTTCATGGACATGGGCATTCTCTCCAATGATGCTGATTTTAACCCATCCATACCTTCCCATCCCATAAACTCTTATCTATGTTTTCCTACAAGTTTGCCATAAGGAGCACATCCAATATGCTGAGGGTTTGCCTCAAATTCTTCTGTTATCCTATAGATACCAATGAAGGATGTAAGCTATTCAACGGTTATGCTTAGCTCCCTGCCACATGATTGACCCAACTTCTCTTTTTGATTATACATATATTTGATGGAATCATTTACAACTCCTCTTCTTTGTTATTCTTGGCTTATAATACATTGCAACCTGCTCATTCCTACCTTGTACCTCCCAATTCTCTCCATTACTATTTGGGTGTTTATCAACTTCAGGTCCTTGGAGACCATAGCATAACATGACCCTCAGTCAAAAAATGCCACTCCAAGAATATACATGTTAAAAAGTTTTGTTTTAGGACTAAACTATGGGTCATTGAAAGAACATTGCAATTTCCCCAAGGCAATCCAGGCAACTCTTTTCCTGTATAATTCTGGGCCCAACTCATTATGAATTTTTATTGCCTAAGATAATATCTAATATCGATAGTGGTAAGTGAGCTCTATGGGTTTTCCATCTAATTGCACATCAGAGTCTAGACAATCGTCCTTATTCATTTACTTAATTTTTCCTGTGTGAATTTCAGACCAAACTCTTTTGAAGAATTATAGATCTCATTTTGGAGGCCCTGAACATTTTGGGACTTGATGCAATCAGCACCATGTCTTCCGCAAACAGAAACACCTGGAAGACCACTGGCTCTAGAGAATTCCTCTTTAACTTGAACTCTGCTCTAGAGTCTTTCCTGACAGTGACAAACATCTTTGCTATACCTCTCCTTACTTCACACTTTGTTTGATATTAGTGACAGAGGGTCATCAAGCAAGGTTATCCCTTTGTTACATCTTTCAAGGAATCATGTATAATTTTGACATATGATAGGAAATACATCATTGAAGGAGTGCCTTATGGTCATGTTTCGATCTGTTGAATCAAATGCTTTTTATGGTCAACCAATAATAAACCATGTGACATCTTGTATTTTTGACACATTTATCAATTGTGTTATAGTTAAGATGTGGCCTATTGTCAAAGCACACTTGTGAGAGCCCTCCTGTTCCCTTCTAATAAGTATTCTTGTCAAGGGTACCTTTAATGAATGTGTAGATTACTCTCATTAAAATTTCACATAGACTGGAAAGTAGGTATATGGGTCAGCAATTATTGATGTTCTTTTACTTGTCTTTTGGGATAATAATAAGGTCTGAAGTTACTCCTACACTTTTAGTGTCTTTCCCTTCTTCAATCCCCAAGTAGCCTTGGAATTCTGATGCCACCCATACAGACTTCCTCAGTGTACACTTGGTTCAGTCTAGTACTTTTCTCATCATTGTCCTCTTTGGTGCCATTTGAACTTATTCATGAAGCATTTCTGGGATTGGGACATGAATCCAAATGAGATTCAGGATGTGTTGGATGACCTGACCAAAAGAATAGTCATGAATAGGCCAATTTCCACTTAGAGGTCTCTAATGGAGCGCTACATAGATCTGTCCTCGATCCTGTGCTATTAAACGTTTCACAAATGACTTGTAAGGGCAAAGATAGCAGCACACTTGTTTAATTTTCACATGAAAGAATTCTGAAAGGGATAGCAAAAATGTGTTGGACAGAGCCAAGGATCCCTAAAGATCTCAAGAGATTATAATAATAGTCCAAGTCTAATACAATTATGTTTTATAGGGGAATTCTCTCAAAGAGCTATCCTAGGTTCTAGATATTTCGTGGATCATCAATTGCTGTATTTTTTTCTTTTTTGTAGGCAATGGGGTTAAATGACTTGCCCAAGGTCACACAGCTAGTAACTGTCAAGTGTCTGAGGCCAGATTTGAACTCAAGTCCTCCCGACTCCAGGGCCAGTGGTCTATCCACTGTGCCACCTAGCTGCCCCCAATTGCTGTATTTTTACTAGTCAGTCAGAGGAAACATTAGTTTGAATAAAACACATTCAAATGGGATAGCAAATGAAGTAACAAAAGAAGATTCCTACATATGAACCTAGGATACATCAATGGTTATCATATCACTAGTGGAGGGGGGTAGACAGGCAAGCATCACCACAGGAAAGAAGGCATGGAAAGAATATATATGATCAAGGAACATGCTTGGAGGCACATACATTAGGAATATATGTGGCCAGGGAACATTTACGAAGAGGTTTATACCTAGAATCTATGTACCCAGGAAATATATGTGGAAGACACACACACACAGTAGCCGTGTAAGGCCAGTGCATATGGATGGCCAGGCAATTTGCAACTGTAACACCACAAGGCTTCCAAAGCACCTATTAATGACACTACTCTCTTTTGTTCTTCATTGGGTGTAGTGTCTTTGCTCTCTGTATAGATTAATTGATTACATGTCTCTCTTGGTCCCTAAGCTTCTCTCTGCTGACAGTCTCCGGACTTTATCTTTTCAGGTCTCCATTTTCTCCATTTCAGCTCTTTTTTTCCCCAGAGAATAGTAACTAAAACCAATACCTCTCCTTGATAAATTCATTAAGCTGATAGATTTTAATCATAATATAAGCTATAAGCCACTATAACCGGGTAAGGAAGCAAGGGAAAAAAGTAAGACAATAACCCTAGGCTACAAGGAAATTTTTTTTTTTACTCCCTGTGTCTAAGGGTTCACTTTACAAGACCACTATTTGACTTATTTCTCTATAACCCATTATGAGTAAGCTGCATCTGAAAACTCATTTTGGGGAGGCTTTGCAAAAAAATATTCCAAAGAACTCTGTTATGGAGCTCATTTCACTCCCCAAATCTTCTCTAAAATGACATATAAATTAATCCAAGCAAGCACGAAGCTAAGCAAAGAAAGGAAGGTCAATAGCCACCCTGCTGGTATCCTTTCCTGCCTCTATTATGTATATTTGCCAACAAAAAAAAAATCCTGACTGGTTCTGCATTTTTACTAGTAAAAGTCCTTGCTATATCCCCTTGGTGGGATGAATATAAATTTCTATGCTTGAGTTAAAAAAAACTTTCAAAGTATAAGGAGATACAACTTGACAACAGTTCATATGAAAAAGATCTATGGGTGTTTAGTGAACTGAAAGCTCAAAATGAATCTATCATCAGATGCTATCAACCAAAAAGACTAATACAATCATTCATTGCTTTAAGGGAAGCAGAGCATCCAGGACTAAGAAGGTGATAATCTTACTGTTCTCCTTCCTAATCAAACTATATATAGGGGATTATGTTGAGCTCTGGGCATCATATTTTAGGAAGGACCAATAGAGAGAACAAAGGAGTCCCAAAATCATGAATGGAGATAACCTTTGAGTCTTCCTTCTGGGAGTTTGAAGGACTACCAGACTCTTGGGAACTGTGTCGTGTTGCATGTGACTACAGGTGCTATGAGCAACAGGTAAGGAAAAGGAATCTTCCTATTTATGAATCTAAGTGGCCGAGTCTCTGCTCAGTTGAGCTTTTCTACTTATTTTCCAAGAGTTCTGCCAAGAGTGCTATTTTGTTGTTGTTATTGTTTTAAAACCTTTCAATAAAACTTTCCTTTCTTTAACTTGTTGAAATGCAAGTTTCCAAGAGAAATCAGTGTCACCACTCTGAGTGGTGTTAAGTCATGAACCCGGACCCTCCATGTTGTAAGCGCCTCTGACACAAAGGTTATGTGTAAGACTCACATTCCACCAAAATAGCTTTCCTATCATCTAATTATTTTCTAGTAATGTACCTGTAGATCTTTGTGGCCATTTTACGCACTGCAAAGAACATAGGAGGATCCTGAGGACCAATAGGCATAAGTAGACTTCACCACGAAGGCTACTATGACTTCTGGGCATTGGGAAGCTGAGAAAGGATCAGTGTTTAAATGTCATTTACAAACTGAGTCAGTGGTAGAGATTATTTTGTGACTTTGTTACTCAGCTCATTTAATTCAGTTAAAGAGAAATCTAAGTATCCCAAACTGAACTCTTAAACTAGACCCTGAGCTAGAGAATGGGCCAGATCTTTGGTCCTAGAACTGTGACAGAACATCTTTGGAATCTTGAAGCTTCTGGAAATCTAAACTTGGAGTGAGCTGGAAAATAAAATCCCAGAGATCCAAGGATGTTTTTCCCTGTCCCGATCACTTCGTATTACAACCACACTGAACTAAATCCAAACAACTTTAATCATGGCTGAACTAAAATGGAAAAATTTACTGATTTCACTTCCCGTTTACATCATTGGACTTTAGCTCTTTCCCTCCAAAGCTCACTACTTCCTCCCTGTTCAAACAAACATTCCCCACCCCCTCAGGAGCCTGCAAATCCATTTCCACAACATTTGCTGTAATTTGAACTAATTTCTGGAATATTCTTTAGAATCAAGATGACTAGAGATTAGGATGCTTTAGCTGAGAGGTATGCCATGTGAATTTGGCACTAGTAGGAGATGCATGGGGAGAGGAATTTTGCCCAGCCAGAACACAGGATGAGGACATTCTTTCATGCATTAATAGACTGGTTCAACAGTCAACATTTATTAGATACCTATTGGTGCAGAGCACTATGGTAGACACTGAGGGAAACACTGACCTCAGGAAGCTTCTACAGATATAATCACTCTTTATTAATGATGACAGTGATGATGATTGATGATGATGTGTGGAAGACAGGATGCAAAGGGTTAGGTAGAAGGTTGATGGAGGTTTGAAGCTCAGGATAAAAGTTTTTAATTAGACATAGTAAATAATCAAAACCACCTCTAAGATTTTAAATATGTCACATAATGAAGCCAAAGCATTATTCAAGAAAGATCCCAATC